AGATTACCAGTGCTCCTAAATTAGAATCCAATCTTTTTCCATGGCCATTTTTGAAGGCTATTGGACTGGTCAGGTAATAGCTTGCTGAGCATAGCAGTCCAATTAGTGCAAGAAAAGGGAGATGCTTGCATCTAGAATCATGCAGGATGAAGCACTGTAGATTCATAGGGGTTTTAATGTTGTAGAGACAAAAGAGGAGTAGGCAGATGAAATTATGCAACTCCTTTTTCATTAACTTTAACACCAAGTGAAAGGTGGATATAGGCACTTAAATATTTTGGCTGAACGACTGCAAAGAATAATTTAAAGCCTACTATCAAGACATACCTTACATCCACTGTAAAGATACAGGGCATCAACCATAAGGCACCACTTTGCTATATCAAATTTTGTTTCTGCAGGTAAGGCTAAAAGTTGAAAAAAGCAAAAGAAGATTGTGGTTTTAAAGAAGTCTGTAGTTCTTGTCTCACTTCTCCCAAGGCTTGTGGTTTGTCAGCCTGCAATCCAAACTACTGCTGTGTACTGGTTTTTGACTACCCCAGCCCCCCTGGACCCTGGCACCAGTTGAAATGGGCATTAAATGGCCGTATCAACCAGGTCCCTACATCTGTTTTGCCTTTCTGTCTGATGCTGGATCCCAATGGGGGATCAAAATCCACAATTAGGCTGAAATATTCAGCTCAGGTGACCACTGCACGCAGCAGAGCATTTATCTGCAGTGGCTGTAAGTGAGAGGAAAACACCTCTAGGGCTAATGTAGCCTCGTAGCCCAGTAAATAGAGTATTGTCCCTGCTAGTAACAGGCCACAGGCTTTATGCTGACTTCATAAGGCCTCAGGACTGAGGCTTGCCATGACTGCTTTGTCTGAACTTGCCTTAACCTGCCTCGAGCTGCCCTTTGTTTAGCTGTGAAAGCGATTTTTCTAATGACTAGGAAATTCAGGTGTAACTGTAGGATTTGAAGGCCAATGAAGAAAAACAAGATGTAAAGTTGGTAGTGAACATAAAAATGCCCCTAAGCAAGCAAAAAATAAGGAAAAAGAAACCAACAACATCAATACCATGCTCATCCTCACAAAGGTCCTGGGATGCTGACAGCTGGCAGTATTTCCTAGCCCCATTGCAGCCACTGGCTGTTAGACCCAGAGGGTCAGTGCAAGTGTGAGCATAACATCAAAAAAAGGGGTAGGTAGTAGGAAGTGTGCATATATCAATTTTACCTTTTTTTTTTTTTCCTGTAGTAGTATAGTAGTATTCTTTTCTCTCCTCTCTTCTTGTCTCTCCTCTCTTGTAATTAGATCTAGACTAATAATAATTCATATATTAGACTGTTAAAATTTGTTATACTAACAATAAATTGCTGACTTTACATAAAAGGTGTGTCTCCTTTTTGCTCATAACGAGCTTTTGAGTGTAATATTTGTTCAACTAGAAGTGACCAGTCAGACAGGACAGTGGTGCAGAAGTGATATGCTGGCAATGGCACTACTAGGTGGGACCCCAGCAACGTGTTCAAGTGCTGCTGTCACTCTGAAAACTCACCTCCTTCCATAGCAAGTGCTCGGCAGCAAACTGGCTTTGTGTCAGTGGGTTAACTACCCAGAACACCTGTAACAGGGCACAATCCTATGGATCTTGCAGATCTAATGAAATAATGCTATTGACATCCTTGGTCATGCACCCTCATCATGTTCCTGTTTTCTGACAAGGGTTTACAGATACATGTATTCTTTTAACTTTTATTTGGAAGGACAGATATACATTTTGCCAAAGATGATAGTCAAGCCCAGAATCTAGGAAAGCATCCAAAGAAGCAATATGGAAGGTTTCAATGGCTACTTTAGTTCATTACTAAATAACATGGAAAATTTACTTTCTTGGTTCTCAGGTATCAAAATCCAGCGTCTAAAATAGAAAGAGTGACCCTGCAATAGGAGAGGTGTGCAAGAGCAAGTCAAACTAGTCCCAGAATGACGCAATGTAAAAAGGGGTAATTCGTGGAATCAGCTGGTATAGTTAAGAACCTGCCTATGTGAATATTACAATTAGTCACTGTGTTTAAAACATTTGCCTTGAGGGAGAGGGAAATGTCTGTATTACAAGATACTGTAAGGTGAACAAATTTAAATTACCTCAGTGTAATGTCTCTGCGTAGACATAGCCTTAGAGTACATACTCTTCAGGCTTGACCCGGTTCAGTATAGGTCAAGCACATACTAAAAAATGGTAAGTGGAATTCACAGCGACACTGCTGTGGAGTCACCACATACTTAGCAGTAGGAGGGATTCATCTTCCTGAAAAGTAGTATTAAACATGCCTCTTCAGAAATGCAAATTCTGTACTTGCATCCTTTCGGCCAGTATTCAAGAAAGTGTGTAGGCAGACATGCAAATGTGTGACCGTTACTCTGTTCAGTGTGCTCCTGAACTACTATCGGGCTTCTGTGCACATAGAGAGCCATATTTAAATCTTATTAAAATGGCTGTATGTCTAAAATAACTCTGCCAAAAGAGGTTATCATTTCAGTTTCTGCTATGCAAGAGCACAGAAAACATCCAAGCCTTATACAGTCATCACTGTATAGAGAACTTTATGGAAAATTACTGGCAAATGTTAAAAAAGAAACTTTGCTTAGAAAATGTTCAGCCCATGCACTGCATAAGAAGAAACAGATAAGTGAAGTGTTTTGATATCATTATAGTGAAAAATTTGTTATACTGAATTAATTTCACATCTTTTTCATGTGTTTATAAATATTTTTACACAAAGGAAGTAAATAAATACAAAGGTAAAATGTTTTTGTTTGAAATCTACATGCTATCTGATAAATTTGTAATGTAAATGCTAAAAAAATAACTAGTCAAACAGAGCATGACTGAACACAAATTTTATGAAGACAATGTAACAAGAGGTATGCAACACACTGTATTTCATTCCACAATGCATACTGCTTGTTTAGCAAAGTGCTGAAAAGCTGCATCCCTTTGTGTTTGTTAATGAATCAGTTTCTGGTGAGTGTGCAGGCAAACAATAAATTGGAGGCTATTTTAACCACGCATACAAAATGGCTATGTAGTTGCATAGAATGGTAAATGCACAGAAGTAAAGACGGAAGTGAAACAATTTCAAATGTCATTCTATTTTTAGAAAATGTCAAGTTCCCTAAAGTTAATAAAAGAGAAGCCCACATGAAAAGCAAAATGTCAACACTGTTCTGACAATAATGAAACCAGTAAACCTGCTAGTAAGACCAAGCTAACAAAAAATCCATAGTAAATGATGACTGACCTTTCAGAAATGTCTATGTAGTTACCATGATCATTCCGTATGGTAACAGTACTTCAAGGTATAAGTATGGATCGAGTGCCAAAATATAATAAAAACAATAAAAAGCTGATGCCATCAATGCATTTGTAGATCAATCTCTGCATTTCAAAATGCTGTAAGCAGCATTATCAAAGGGGATACTGAGACCCACATACTGTGCAGATGATGGTGGGGGAAAATGTCTTTTCAAAATAGTATATGAGTAAGTCCTGATCGTTAATGAGTTAAGCATAAACTTTTGACCAGTATTCTGTGAACAAGTTACATGCCTTTTACTCATTTTCTTTCTTGTCTGTTCAATGGTATGCATCCCCTGCAAAGAGAGGTGCTGAATATTTGGGAAAACAAAATTCCTAAAAGGTAACAGAGAAGAATGAGGCAAATAACATCATACTATTATGAAGAAAACTATCAAAACGTAGTACTTAGGATGCCACTGTTGACACAAGCGTCTTGGGAAACTGTAACTACAGATGTGGATTTCCAGTCTTAGTCGTTGAGGGATAGAAACCACTTTTGCTGTAGAAACGTTTTTTCCCTCTGACATTTGTTTTTGAAATTTACTCAAGAAAATGTCTATTCTCATCTGGAAAATTTCTTTTTTGTTTAGACTGACTCCTAGAAATTGTTCCTTGTTCTTCATGTGTCGTCATAATGAAACTGCAAAATGAAAGATGAATTTGTCACAGTAGATTTGCTTCAAACACAGATTGGCTACAGTTTCATTTCACCTGATCAGAACACCTTTCCTGTTTCGTTTTCCCTTGCAGGCATTTAAAAAAAGCCAGATTCTTACTCTACGTGGACTTCTACTGTAATGCCCATTTATACAAAACACTAATGCAGATCTTGGATTCATATTATTAAAATCTCCGTATACTTCATATACTTAAAATCTCCCTAAACATTTTGAAACAATGATCACTGTTTTTCAACAGTTTAAGGCTGTCAGCGTGCTTTGGGGTGGGGACAGATATGATCCTGAAAGCAAGATTATGTCACTAAAGTTCAAGGAGAGGTCAAGAATATCTCTACACATGTCTTTCGAGGTCAGGTTTCTCCAAACACAACTGTATTTTGCCACTCAGACCTATTTTAGTGGATGAAAACTGCTGTGTTGTGCCTTTCTGAAAGAGGAGCTAAGGAGCATGCATGAAATCAGAAGTGAAAGAGGGGACTGCATAATTTTTCCTTGCCTCCAAGAATTTTGTTTTGATCTGAAAAACACAATGGCCACAAAGAAACCAGCTGCATAAGTAAGGATGAAAAGTAAGGCTGGTTAAAAATCTGTTCAGTTTAAGAAGTCGTCTGATAAAGAAGAAGCAAAAACATTTTCTAAATTATTACAGGATAATATTGTCCTTCTTTCAAGAGCTTTTATAAAGAGCTTGTCAGTAAATAAGCTTATGAGGGAGATTGAAATGGAACAAAAAAATCTATACTGTTGGCATCTGTGGACTGTGCCTACTTTTTATCTGCCCCAGAGAGAACATCTCCCTTTCACCTGACCCAGCAAGCATTTTATAACAGAACATGTATCTATCAAGTTTAAAATTAAAAGAAACAAATATATGCAAAATTCTTCTTTAGAAATTAATTTAAAAATCTGTAATTTGTTCAATTAGTCATGCTGCTTTCTTGACTGTCAATAAAACAGGGGCCATAAGCCACTTTAACATTCAGTTTCTGTGGACGCATTTTCTTGCCTAGCTTTCTGTTCTTCTGTTGCACTGCCAAATGCTACCACCAAATTAGTTATGCTGCTGGCATGTCCTGGTCTATTTAATTTGTCCCTTACAGACTTGGCTTTCTGAGAATGGCTGCGCAAACTCTTTGACCGTACTGATGGGAACCCAGAAGTCCTTTCTGGCTTTACTGATAGTAAATTCTCTTTCTCAGCCTTGACAGTGGCAGGCATAGAGGTGTAAGAGGCACTCATACCTGCTTCACCAACATCACTGTCATCATCTGTATCCATCTGTAACTGTTTCTGCTCCGCTTGCCTTCCTGCTTCAGAGATAAAACCAGGGTATTCTGGAGGAGGTTCTTGAGAAAGTTGCTGCTCAACTTCATATTTCCACTCTGTGGTCCATTGTTCAATTGTAGAAGGGCACACCTGATCCATGATGGTACTATATTCTGTGGTCCAGTTGTTAACTCCTCCAACCAGCTTCCCACCCTGGGCAAATATAAAGCTCCTTGACTTCATCATAGTGGTTTGATAAGCACTGAATGTTTCAGGAGGAAAATAGCGCATTGCTTTGGATTTGTCCAAGGGATAAGAGATGGTTGCTTCTAACTTGGTACGTTCTACTTTTAACTGAGTGTTCTGAAAATCTGATCTTGGTACTGACTGTCTGTTCGTAACAGCATCCATCTGGTTTATACTTTGAGGAACCATTCCATCACTCTTGAAAATCCACTGCTTTTCATCCCCAAAACCACCTGAACCAGAACGGGGTCTGGAGACATTCTGTGCAATTTCTAATGTAGATTTACTGTAATCTGCTGTGGTGACTGCATTCGCACTAGAAGTATAATGGAGACTGGTGTGGTGTTCTGGAACCAGCATCCTTGGGTCTGCTCCATCTTCTTTGGTACCAATAGAATGGGCTTTTTTACGCAATCCTATGGCTGGTGACATAGGAGTGGTACTGTCATATGTTAACTCATCACCACTGACATGGTATCTGTACATGCTGTAGCCATCAGAGCTGTTAACACTGCTTTGCCTTAGGAGATATGCAGCATCACACTCAGACGAAGCCCGTGAACGTGTATATGTCAGCTCAGATTTGTCAATTCCTGCCAGCTTCTCAAGAGCATTCACCATCCGATCAGATAGTTCTTCCAACTGAGAGAGTCGAAGGTCGACTGTTTGAAGAGAAGCTTTCATAAAATGTTCTCTTTCATTCACTTCTTCTAGCCTCATAGACATATTTTCAACTCTGTTGGGCATAAAAGAGGAAGAATAGAACAGAAGTTGTGGAATGGTGCAGTAACCTATTATAGGCACCCAGCTACTGATTTCTTCATAAGGCAGAATTTTGTGCTAAGTATCATGCATCATTCTTTTTTCCTATGTGTGGCATCAAAAGCACATGCATTTTCTTGTGATCTATGCTTTCCATACACCATATTAGATGGCTATTTGAACTTTGCCCTTATTTACATGCCAGGAGAGGAGTACAAGAGCTGCAGCCCTTAGGGACAGCCTACTATTAACATTTCTGAGTGTGCCACCCACTTCACATTCAGTTGTCCTCTTTCACTGTGAAGCATCAATTGATTATACAAAAAATACTTTCTAATGAGATGCTCAGAGTGTGACTTAAAACAGCATCAAGGCATGCTGTCAAACAGGTTTTGTAGCTGTATGAGAGAGAACGTATGCTGGTGCGTATGGGATTACTTTAGCTCTTGAAATACCTTTCAATTATCAGTATCAGCTGAAGGGAGCGGAATTATTGTCTAGTTCAATTAAAATAATACTTTTTCCCATTTTCTTTTATCATTTATATCATAACGGAAGTGTTGGTATCAGAAGAATGCGTATAAAAGTAATGCATTAGAATGTGACTTAGAGATCATACACTAGTAAATCAACTGTGGAAATTAAATTAACATTCTTTTGCTCTCACACACAAAAGATGATGAAGCATCTGGAGCAAGAAGCCATGAGAAATAAGCAAATCTGCTTTGTGGCCATAGACTATAGTGAATCAGTGAGGCTTACCAGCCCTGCTTTATTCTTTGCCACAATACCTAGGATTTTGACAAATTGCCATGAATAAATAGTGTGATAGAAACTACTCAAATACACATAACATATTTCATTTACTTCTCTATTCTCAAACTTCACATACTATAATGCAAGATGTTCAGGGCCTCCCTTCAAGAGAAAGATGTTTATCTGTTAAAGAATTATATGGCTCACAGAGCTATTTCATAAGAAATGTTAAAAGGCGGGGGCGGAGGGGGGGGGAGAGAGAGAGAGAGAGAGAGAGAGAGAGGGGGGGGAGTTCATCAT